CAGGTTTTCACATGTACTCTGTGTAAATAATAGGAGTGCATTGAGGAAGATAAGACTTGCATGTTTTCCTGCAGGAGTCTGTTTGTAAAACCCTAAATGTCTTTTAAGAATTTGGGGCAAGACAAAATACTGATGAGAATGAGATAAACGATGATGGCAGTATCAAAACATATCTTTTAATGAGTGATAAACTGACTTCTGAATTTCTGCCCTCCAACCAGTGATAGGGCAAAAGACTTTCACTGGGTCTTGCATTTTGATGTACACTTTGGGCTGAGCATTGTCCTATTCTCTAGACAGGGGTTCTATTAAGTAGGTGTTGGACAACATTTCAATATGCCAAGCATGTATCGTATCCTGAAATACTCAGACTGGACAGCATAATTCAATGCTTTGTAGCATCTGATTTTTGCATTCTGATTTTCTGAGTGTTTGTCAGATCTTTAGGAATGGGGTGTTAAATGTTGAGGATAACACTACTGTGAAAAACAATGAATGTTTGTAGTATAAAGAAAGAGAAAGACAATCCACGTTACTTTATTTGTATAGTTGTTTGTTTTTCAGTGCCCTGGAAGAGACTGGCTTTACTGCCTTAAGCAATCCTTTTGCTGGTCCTTTTGTAGACTACACCAGCACAAACAGAAATCTGGAACAAAGAACAAACCAAAAATCTGGTTGAACAGTTATAATTAGAGCTTCACTATCATGAATGAAGAGACCAGCTAACTGGCTCACAGAACCTGTCCTTCTACTGAGGCAACATTTACCCTTTGGTAGAAGACATACCTACAAAATAAGCTGAATGTCCTTGTCAAGTCTGAAATTTAAGTATTTTTGTATCATGTATGCAAAAAGCACAACTTGCAAACAGAGGTTTAGGGATAACTTAAATGTATCCTGTATTAGACATGGCTTCACCAACTCCCAGGTTATCAGAGTTTTAGACAACCAAGAGGAATGTTCTCCAAAAGCAATAAATGACTGATGCTGTTACGTTCAGGGAGGGTGAGTGTCCTCTACTTAATCTCTGTTGAAGATGTGCTCAGACACACTTAAATGGCACAGACACAGGTCAATTCAGGAAAACCTGAGAATGAGAAATCATGATGTTTGACAATCCTATCTGTTTTACAAGTTTTCAAAAAAGTACTATAGTTCCAGTAATCTTCAAAAGTTATGTTGTAATTTTGTTAATAATACTGTTTGAAATTGAACCTCTTTTGTGTAGGCTTTGGTTGTAGGGCTTGTTTTTGGTTCCACCCCTCCCCTTTGGCAAGACTAAAGAAATAAGGTTCTACAGCAAGGCTGGGAAGCGCTGCAGCTGTTTAGTTTCCTAAGAATGAAACACAGTTAATAACTTTATAGAAACATAAGTAATAGGTGAAAAGTTTAATATTTATTGTTTTCTGTTCTTGAGGTATAGGCACAGTGAATACAGTCAAAGACATGGCAGCAGTCCGAACATTCCAGTCTTACAGCTACAAAACTGCATGTCTGTGCTTAAGATGCAAGATCTACACTTAAAGTTTATAAAAAATATATAAATGAAAAGTTTAATTTTTGGATTAAACCTGCACAAAATTGTATAGGATTATCTGGAGTGAAGGAGATAGTTATTTAATAGTTTTGCTTTACTTCATATAAATTTTTTTTTCTAAACTCAAAACTTTAAACAAAATTTCTCTCACCTCAAGAGAATCAGGCTTGTTTCTTTGTTTATAATAAACTAACCTGGATATTTGAGAACTCACCTCTACTAGCTTTCCTCCACAAATCTCTGCAGTATGATGATAGTTGGGAAAATCAGCTACTATTTTTCCATCTTCCATTTTAACAGTTGCCTGTAATAGAGGAAGGTTTACTGTTTCCAGGGGTTACTGGCATTTATATTACCAGATACACTGTAAACATATGTACACCTGATGCTTACAGCTTTTACTTTTTTTTTTTTTTTAAAAGTAGTGTTGTGGGTTACACACACAGCTTCAAGAACAATACTAAAATCTTTGTGCTTTAGTTCTTAAATGTTTACAGTTTAAATAGAAAAATGTTCATCTAAATAATACATGCAAATTCCATATCTACACACCATTCATAGCTCTAAAAATGATCTGACAACAGGCTATGCTTCTTATTCACTCCTCTATGTGTTATGTCGTTCTCTTGTTTTGACACTGAAATGGAAGGCATGACTGTGTGATTTAAGTTTGAAGTAGCACTCTCAGATACTAATGACCTGCCTGCAAACAGCACAAAAGTCACTGGACAAGTGATGTGAATCTTTACCCTATACCATGAGTTTCATATCTCTAACTACAACACCATTCATCTTGCTCATTTAAGTACAGATAAACATGACTGCACAGTCTCCAGTCACACCTTCATACTGTAATAGGTGCCAGTTGCTGTAAGAGCTGCTTCTGTATGGAGGAACTATGTCAGGATGCTATTATGGAGACGACAAATAGTACAGCAGCTCAGCTGACTGCCAAAATGAGAGATGTAGCTCCACCAAAAAATCAGTGTTGTCTGTATAACCAGTCAGTCTTGCCTATCCTTTTAGTAATAAACACAGAGGAACCAGTCATATTTAGAGGAGAAAAAAGTTATTTGCAAAATTAAGAGATGAGTGGACATTTTTTACAAGACACAAGGAAACCATCTTACTAGTTTATGTATTGGTTAGTGATACTATACTAAAAGGCAGTGGTTTCTCTGCTGGGAGTCTCTCACTCCACCTCCACCTTTAGCTCCTTAGTTGACTTGGGACTGCTGAAGTGCCCAGGGGGAAAAAAAAAAAAAAAAAAGATAATGGTGCTTGTAATGTGTCTTATTCTACCTATGAGGTTTAATGAAGACTTTGCAAAGCCAAATACACTTTTTTTTCCTCTCATAAGTAGAAAGGTATGACTAAAAAAGCATTCTGGAAATCATGCAATGCTATTGTTGTTTTCAGTTTCTCACATTTCCCTGCAATTGTCAGTTTTCCTGTCTCTTCAATGTGTATAAAGCATTTATCCAATAACCTATTGCAGGGTTCAGGACACCTCAGAAATGCAGAGTTTAGCTGTCCCAAACTGTCTTATTTTATTCTTTTTTCTTTTTGTCTATTTAAAGGGATAAGTAAAGAAGCCATTTTACAGCAGGTTTTGTATCTAGACTTTGTCCGTCACAGGAGCAGATCAGTATTGTGTAACCTTCTGACTGCTAGAGGATGCTGATGTTGTGAGTTGCTCTGCACTTCCCACAGGAAGGAGAATACATATTCCTCCCCCCACTTTACACAGTGTTTTGTTTAAGGCTCGTGCTGCACAGGTGCCTACAAAAGGTGAGCACTGCTGACAGGCATGGGCAGAAGAAGGGACCACAGCACTGCCATCGGTGTGCTGCACTTGCTGCATAGTGCTGGACAATGACACAGAAGCCAACCAGCTCTTTAGAGTTTTAATGAGCATTGTTTGCTTGAGCTGCAACACCAGTAGGTAGGTGCTTGACACTCCACCCTTGTTCTTTATTAGTATGTACTGTTCTGAAGCTCTAGCTCTCTTTGAAATCAGATAGGAATCAAAAAATGGGGAAAAAAAATATATGTTTCTAAGCTGTGACAGATGAAAAAAATTTAAGGAAGATGTCCCTGAGACAGATCTGATTTTTACCCTAATTAAACCCCAAAACCAACAAATGAGACAGTGCAGAACTTAAATTAATTTACCTTGAACTTCTTACCACCCATTGTCTCCATGTCGGCTTCCTTGTCAATTGTGAATGAGTTGGTCATGGTGCGGCCTCCTGGGAAATGCTGCGTCCAGGTGAAGTTGTTTCCATTCTGCACCACCTCAGTGACTATTTTGCAATTCCTTCCCATTTCAACCTTGTCACTAGGGAGACCTTAAACAATAGAAAAATACAGTTTATCAAATCTAATAGCCTAGCAGCTGTATTTGACTTGAAGCATGCTAATGGTATGTTTGTTCTCAGACATTGATATCTGAGCATCTGATTTGCTGGGTGGGTTGGTTGTTTCTTCTCCCTCCCCCCTTTTTTACTCTAATATCAAAGCTCCGAGTTTAAATTGCTAGTATAAAGGAATATATGGGCATTTCCTAAAATAATAAGTTTTGGTCTTGCATTCTTTTCCCTGAGAAATGATACACAAAATAAATGTAAAGATACAAGGTATATATAAATATTCCCTTCTACTTAATCCACACATGCAGATATGTGGAATTTAATGTGTATGAATTTGTGCCTTTGCTATATAGCTGCATCCATTTGCTTTTTAACTAAATCAACACAAGCACTGAACTTAAGCACACAGATCATAGTGTGCCTAAGAGCTTTTATGGGTAAACTCTGAATCAAGTTTGCACAGTCTTCTGAAAGCATTCACAGAAACTTGTTCCTGTGTGAGATTTTGAGAAGCGTTTTCATACTAGATTTATACCCCCTCCGAAGAATACTAAGGACAGAAAAAGCAACCTTCACAATCATCACACTCCAGACTTGTTGGTCCCTCATTCTGCTGCTGCTGAAAAGGAATACTGTAGGACGACAATGCTTCCTGTAAGAATGAAAATTGAATCTCCTTGCTGAAGTCCAGAGCACTCCTACAAGTCTTAGTCCCTGTTGATCTCAGCACATTTTTTTTAAAAAGAGGTTTTTTAATTAAAAGTATTTTAAACTCATTTATAACTCTTAAGACATACTTACCAATCTTCTTCACAAAGTCATCATAGTTCTCATCGCTTTCGAATTCATATTTGCCTGAGAATGCCATGTTGCCCTGGTGATGTGCCTGGTAGAGCAGAAGAGCAGCTGGAACAAAGAATGGATAAGTGCAGATGGCTTGAGGCCCTCGTTTTTATCAACCCGCCCAAGCTGTTCAGCCCACCTGTACCCACACCCCTTGGAAATATACTTTTATGATCTATGTGAGTCACTAGCATGGATGCCACTGACCTGTATGAAAATGAAGGTTATAATTCAACTATACACCCTTGGCAATAAACTGGAGATCAGCAGAAATCAGGGACAAAAGCTAAGCTTTCATTTTAGTGCATATTTAAACAAAGTGATATATTTTTACTTTCAAGATTACAACGATTTGCATTCAGGATGGAATAATGGTAAACTGTTACACTGAAACAGGCAGAAACCAGCTTCGAAACAGTGTCCTGAGATCACAGCCTTGCACTATTTGGAAGCATACCCCAAATTAGTTAAGATATGAAAACAGGAAACAAGCCACACTGATTCCTAAGTAGTTCTGCTAGGATGCAGACAATGGCAAGATTCTGGGTGAGTTACTGCACCAGCCCATGTCTTACCTTATCTCCACACAGAAAAAAGAATTATGAAATATTTTACACTACTTGGATGTAAAGTACATTAGATTAGTCCGTGGCACCATCTTCCCATACCCCTTATTTCATATCCAGAGACAGTGCTTTGTATTGCTTAGCAAGTGTTTACACAAAGCAAAAAGAAATTAAAAACTTATTTTGGGAAAGAAGAGCTCTGATTTATGTAAGATAACCATATGTTAAAAGTCAGGGAGTCTGCTGGGTAATTTAGAATGCATAAGGAAGATGGGTCTTATGCCTAATGAATCCATTGCCACACACAGATAGCAGGGTAGGAAATTCCCAGCTGCTGTGTATTGGCAAAGCTCCACTGGCTGAGCAGACAAGCCACAAATCTTAACCTGAACAAAAACATTCCTAGGATTTATGTGAAAATTGTGTAATAGATTGGAATTTTATTTCTTTAAAGTAATAGATTTGTCAAGGAATAGAAAATCTATTTTTCCTTGGTTTTATAAGAATCTGGAGAAATATGTAACAGTGTTCAACAAGTTTTGCTGCTTGCAAACAAACTTTAGTAATGGGGTAAAACTTAAGTAAAAGGGTAAACATCATAAATCATGGTATATCATTACTGTAAAACTGTACAAACTAGAAGCATTGCTACCTCTAACAGTTTTATTACCAATAACGTTGTCTTTGAGTTCACAGAATCAGCTGTACACTCTCTCAGCCTGTGCTCTAAATCCTGCACATTGGAGAGAGGAGTGCAGCTTGAAGCTGTTCTCCTGAGCTGAGACAGAATGGTGCCTCTCAGTGAATCCCAGCTCCTGCAGGCCCTCTCTCCCCTAGGGTTGCACACTGGCTTCATCTTGATGTACTCTCACAGATTTGGGACTGTATCTAAATTATGTCATTCTAGCATTACATTCAAGAGGAGCTAGAAATAAGACAGTTGTACCAAATTGACCTGTCACAGCATATCAGAGCGTACAACTCCTTAAACTACTATCTGTCAGGGAGGGGGTTAAGGTTTTATTCAACTTAATATATTTGCTGTGTATACATTATTTAATAGTATATTACTTATCAGGGTATGTTGTTACAGTGAAAAAAATCCTCTCTAATTTGTATTAATTTTTTATTTTACTTACTAAGCTGCTCTCCTTCATGCAAAGCCTTTGCTGTCAGTAAATTATACAGCCTTGAAACCAATTACAGAACACTCAGGGCATTTGAGGTTTGAATAGGAAAACGTTTCCTGTCTTAGGAAAATTTTTGCAGTTTCAAAACTTTCCTTAGAGGGGAAAAATGAGATGGATTCCAGAATAAAATACTGACTGATGGGTGAAAAGTCTCAATCAGCTGAGAAGATGGAATTTTCTAGTGGAAAAGAATTTTATGACCAGAAAAAGCTTCAGAAAATTTCAAGGCAGTTTTGTGAGAGATTATACCTGTGGAGTGGAAAAGAGCTTACCTCATGTTTATTAGTTGGGAATGTAGATTTATTTTTTTTTTTCTTTTTACCTACTTTCTCTTCTGAAGTCTGCGAGAAAGTAACTTCAAAATCTTACATATTCTTATGAAAGAAAACATAAAACTTTCAAATGGAGATGTGGTTTTTGAAGTTGACAAGGATCCTTTTAAAACTATTTGTTTGGGTGTACGTTCCCAGCAGGAAAGCAGTTTTCTAGAACAGACGCAGAAAGTGAACAGGAGTGAAGCATAACAAAATCACAGTTAATTTGTAAAATAAAAATGGAACAAATGTCCTAGGAATTACTGCCTTCCCACCCCTAACCCTTCACTCTCCCCATATTTACTCAGCTTTAAATTGTACCATGCTGTGCAGTGGCTGGCTATATTGTGCAGGAGTTCATGGCACCACAAAAAAGCCATACCATCTGCTGTCTGCATGCAATTAAAGGGATGTCTCCATACTTGAAGTAGAAGAGAGCCAGATACTTTCTCTCTGTGAACGTTTTCAAAAGACAGGAGTGTGGGAGAAAAGTACAAAACTGGGAGTTTCTGTATCAATTACAAACACATAAGATTCAGGGAAAGAAGAGAGAAACTTGTTTCAGTGCCAGCGTTTCCTTTGCAGTTTTAAGTGTGCATAAAATGATTCTGACTGTCTCACAACCATATTTGACACTTTGGTTTTTTTTTTATTTACAACTCCTACAGCTTAATCCCAAGATTGCTGAACTCAGTGACCAATTGTGCAGGAGCAGACAACTGAAAAGGAAAGTCTATCAGCTGGACCCAGACACTTAGTCCCTATCTCTATAAAGAAAAACAGCTTTAGCATGGAAAACAGTTAAGTGGCTGCACATACCCAGAAACTATGGTTCTTACTGCTGTGGTAAAGCTGTTACATACCAGGTAAGCTACAACAGTGTAAACTCTATGCCATTAATAGAGGCAAAACACCAGGTAATTTCAGTCATACACAGATTTGAAAATACTGTTTAGAGGAAAGCATCATCAAGCCTATTTCAGACATGAGAAAGCTGATATGCAGAGAAAAACTGACTTATCAGAGCTTACAGTGATACAGTGAATGGATGATGCAGCCAGTAAGAAATCCTAAATCCAGGCACTAATCCAATGTCCACAGGATGGCACATTAATTATAACATTCTTATAATAAACAAGCCCTTGGAAGCAAACAAGGGAAGCTCCAAGCGACCATTTACTTTCAGTCACCCAGGGAGTTCTACACTTGCTCCATGGATGGGCTGTTAGAATTTTTACAGCTGCTTAGCACAACTGTCTGAGCAAGTCCCTAGCTAAGATTCTTGGCATCCATGTGGCTCTGTGTATACTGAAAGACAGTCAGCATCCAGCCTCAACTGTGCTTTAGGAGCATGGGTGACTGGTGAGACTGTCCCCTCAGGTTAGCTGAGCACTGTATGCCTCTGTCTTGCACTAGGCTCTTGATGTTCCAGAGACTTACACAACCCTGTGGAGAAGGTAAAGGAACTCAAGCCATAAACTATTCTGTTTACACAAAACTTATTGGGGGACAATACCACTGGTGTAGTAACACCACATGGACTTTGGAAGATAGATCAAACTGGATAAGAAAAATGACACAGTTCTGTGAAAGAGGAAAAAGATAATCAGATTATAATGAACAGTACTTCAGCTTTTATGTTCTCTCTCTCTTGATAAAGATCAAATTATATTGATAGCTTTCTTGTGATGTGATATAAAAATGCTGACCTCTACACAACTACACAATAGTTAGAGCTTGCCTGTGGTGGGAATGTGGTGGACACGGAGCCAGTGTGTAATAGAGTAAATTACCAATGACTAACTATTTGACTGGGTGGGTCACTCTTGCCACAGGCTAAGTACGAGTTTATTCACCTCGAAGGAGTTGTACCCCACGCTGTACCCAAGAGCTCCAAAGCAAGTTACAAACATCCATCCCAACAATAAAGGTAAGGCCATACAGTGTTAATAGAAGTGCTTGGCTTGCTCGGCCTGGCTGCTCAGGATCAGCATCAATTTAGGACAAGTTTTGAGCAAACATGCCATCATCTATACCTGTCTGTGCAGAAGAGTTTTTAATGTACATTGTGAATTTGAACCCATGTTACTGCTCACTTATTCTGAAATAAATCCTTATTTTAATTTCTGTGTTTTTTTGTTATAAAATGTAATTAAATTTGACAGTATAGTGGAGAACGAAGACCTTCATTAAGTAGTTTTGAAAATACTGAGTTAGGATACTGTTTATTCCAAGAATAAAGGAATGGGGCCCCTCTGACTTTACTGAAGTTACGGTCACCTGCATGACTGCTAAGGTTAGTCGTCCAAGTCCCTATCTCTTCAGTTCAGCTAAACCCAGTAACCATTTAACAGCCTTACCCTTTATATCTACAATATTTGTTATTTTCCTTCCTCTTCAGAACTGTGAGCACATGATGTTGCTTTTGCACAGCCTTACAGCAGTGCTTCATTTCTGGAGGGATCATCATTGTACTAAATGGCACAGAGAACTCCAGTATTATCCAGTTAATTAAAAGGAATAAATTAAACCAAAATAATCTATGTCTATGGATACATGTATTTTAAATACATTAGGCATATTTAATCCATTCCAACCACTACAATGTAGAGCCTGCATACTACTGCAAAACCACCTTAGTCACTTTGTCCTTCTGCTCAACAGAACTCGGTTCAAATCCAGCTGAATGAACAGCTGCAACTGAGACCTGCTGAAAAATAAGATACTTCCCTGGCACAAGGTGAGAATTGTAACAGAGAAAGGCAAAAGAATAAAAAGCTTCAGATGTAAAAGCTGAAAACAGGTTTCAGAAAGCAGCCATTATCTTCAGTGTACTTCACACTATCTATCATTTTCAATGAAGAAAGATGCAGCTGTTCTTTATGTAGGTCAAAGAAAATACCATTATTCTACAGGCAACTGTGTCTGCCATCTGGTGGCCAACTGTCAGGGCCCGTATGCCAGGCAGTATGTCCTACACAGAGCCCCCACCT